AAAAAAAAAAAAAAAAAACAGACCAAAACCTGATGCGTATGCTAATGTTTAAATAGCTTTCCAGATTTTTCTGATTGTAAACTTTTGGAATAGGCTAGGCAAAGCAAAACATATTATCTCTCTCTCTCTTTCTTTCTCTCTCTCCTTCTCTCTCTCTCCACCCCTCCCGTGACCATGATTACAACTCTCACCCTCCCTTGTACTCCCTGTTCCCCAACCACAGCTCACCCCAATAGCCTAGTGTTCTAAGGTATCTGATTTTCACAGACTCAGATGAAGACCCTCATCAACCACACTCACCAGGATAATCCTTGCTGCCATCTAATTTCTGAACCAAGACACCTGACAAATTTCAGTGACACCCAGAGCAGCGTCCCCACCGCTACCGCTCTCCCGGGAGAGTTGAGTTCCTGAGAAAAGCAATCCGGCTTTGAGTCCTTTTGTGTGCAATGGATGCCTGCTTATTCTGGGATGGCTTATCTAGCCATTTTCCTTGCTTCTCCTCCTGCCTCTGCCCCCGCTCTCTGGCAGGCCTCTCCCTCCTCAGGGTGGCTTGAGGATCAGATTCCAAGCAGTCATTCAGGGTCCTCATTATCTGGAGGGAGGAGGGGAACAAGAAACATTCATAAAACATGAAGCCGGGGCAGGTAGTATGGATCGTGGTTATGCATGCTATGCTGGATACATTAGCCAAGTCAGTTTCACGTAAACCAAAGCCCAGTTTAACCGTAGCTAACCAGCTTATCTTTATTGTTTTGAACCATCTTTCAGGACAGCCGTCATCATTCTGAAGTTTCAGACCAATTCCTAAGTGCTCTCGAAGATTTCCCAGTCACAATACCCCAGGGAGTCCAAACGTACCAGGTCAGTGAGTTTGATTTAACTGAAACCTGCAAACTAGAGCTGTGCTGAGCGAGCAAGCTTTTCAGAGCTCTGGTTTCAGGTCTGACGTTCTAGTCGTTGCCAGCGCAATGGCTCTTTGCTTAGTCTGCGTCAGGGAGACGCTGGAATCCTGAGGTCAGGCCCAAGCTGCTGCTAGACGAACTCAAGGCTGAACCATCCAGCTAATCTACAGTCTAATCATTATAGTCTCTTCAAAGTGATATTCTTTGGGCATTTGTTTGATATTTTCTCAGAAGAGCAGCCGAGCCGGAAGGTTCAGCCCCTAGCTCTGATTGCAAATGTTTAATCTCCAGTCAATAAACAAGAGCCCTGCAAGTGACTGAACTCACCCTTCCGGCAGGACAGTTTAGACATTATGGATTCTTGCTATAGCACAACCCCTCTCCCACCTCACCTCCACACACATGCGCGCGCGCGCGCACACACACACACACACACACACACACACACACACAGAGCTTCCCTGAGAGGAGCTCCAGAATAAACACTATCTACACCTCCCTACAGCCTAGTGATGTTTTTATGCCACTCCAAAGGGCAGCCAGGACACCTTATTCGGGATCTGGGGGGACTCCGTTACCATCCCCCAAACCCTGTGCCAGAGGCCCCAGTTAAGTCCATACTTGGGCTTCTGACTTGGATTGTAGCGTCCCACCTTGGCAACTGTATCACTTTAGGCCCCATCATCGTGAAGACAGTACTGCTGGACAGATTGATCACTGGAAAGGTGAGGAGGCAGGACAGCGAGATCCCCGAGAGCACCACCAGGGAAAAGAAGATGCCAGAAGGAGAAGCTGGGGTGCCCCTTCACCTACTTTGCCATTTATTGCCACATAACTGAAATGACAATTCACTGTTCTAGTGGCATCATTGATGTGTCACACTCATCATCTGGCCCACTCCAGTGTTTGTCACCCCAGGGTCACCATCCAATTTCTCAATCCTAACTCAGGAGGGTTGGTGATAGGCCAGGCCACTTCTGACAAGTAAAGGCTTCTGAGGCAACTCTTGTCTTCCTCTGTAGAATGTGGATCCTCACCAGCCTCTCCAAGACCCAGTTGGACGCCCCATCATGCACCTGTCAGCTCTTAAACATGCCACTGGGGAAGCCATGTTTTGTGATGACATTCCCATGGTAGATAAAGAACTTTTCATGGCTTTGGTGACCAGTAGCAGGGCTCATGCAAAAATCATGTAAGTAAACGAAGAGCTTTCAAGAGTCTTTTAAAAGCACACCTGGGATCCCCTCAGAGGAATGTGCCCATGCTCCTGCCATGTCCTGAACCTAAAGAACCTAAAATGGAAAGAATAAAGAAAAGGTTGCCAGCTCCAGGAGGAAGGGAGAACATCTAGAAATGAGCACCCTAGAGAGAGAATAAAAATCACTGGCCGGGCTCAGTGGCTCACGCCTGTAATCCCAACACTTTGAGAGGCCAAGGCAGGTAGATCACCCGAGGTCAGGAGTTCAAGACTAGCCTGGCCAACATGGTAAAACCCTGTCTCTACTAAAAACCCCAAAATTAGTTGGGCATGGTGGCACGTACCTGCAATCCCAGCTACTTAAGAGGCTGAGACAGAAGAATCACTTGAGCTCGGGAGGCAGAGGTTGCAGTGAGCCAAGATCAAACTACTGTGCTCCAGCCTGGATGACAAAGTGAGACTCTGTCTCAAAAAAAAAAAAAATCACAGTGACAAGCCCTTTGTTTCCCTCCTAATCTCACAAAACCTCAGCTTCCTGCTACAGCCTCAGACATGATTCAAAGGCATAAACCTGATAGAGAGCTGGTATTGAGGTGGTAGTGAAACCCCCACTTCATGCCCAAGAATGAATGGCCCCTGTCCCAACCTTCAAGAACACCCCTTGCCATAGCCACACTGTCCCTTCTCCACCTCCAGTCTCCCAATAGCTAAAGTGTTATCTCCTGGCCCAGTGGGAGTCTCTTGGACCCTACTCCTTGGCAGGTCTGTTCTGATTGGTCAGGAACTAAGATGGATTTGTTGTCATATATTCCGATTTTCAACCATGCTCTATCCCTCCCTCACATTTGGGGCCCTCAAAGCTTGCTGATTTCTACTTCCTCTTTTTTTAATTTAGAGAGAGTCTGGCTCTGTCATCCAGATTGGAGGGCAGAGGCACCATCATAGCTCACTGCAGCCTTGAACTCCTGGGCTCAAGCCACCCTCCCACCTCAGCCTCCTGAGTAGCTGGGACTACTGGCATGTGCCACCGCCACACCTGGCTAATTTTTAAACAATTTTTTGTTGAGACAGAGTCTTGCTGTGTTGCCCAGGCTGGTCTCAAATTCCTGGCATCAAGCAATCTCTCCCTTCTTGGTCACCCAAAGTGCTAGGATTACAGGCATCTGCCACCCTGCCCAGAGTGATGTCTACTTCTTAAATATCCCTTTGTTTAGATCAATTGATGTGTCCAAGGCCCTTGAACTACCGGAAGTGGTTGATGTGATAACAGCTGAAGATATTCCAGGCACCAATGGCGCTGAAGGTGACAAACTGCTGGCTGTAGAGGAGGTACGTCCAGGACATGCTCTCCTAGATGATTCTGTGTAGATAGTCACCAAGGTACCCCTCCTGCCAGCTGTCCAGCTCCCAGCTCTTCCTGCCTTCAGGAGGTGGAAGCGCCGAGCCTTCTGGCACCTCTCTACCCTGCCTTTATTCAGCCCTACTAGTCTGGAAATAACATAGTAAAAGGAAACGTATTACAGAAAAGCAACAAGTCCTAGCTCTGCCACTGCGTGCTCTTGAGTCCATATGAATTTTTAGGGACACAAGTCAGTCCACAACAGGAGCCACATTATACAAAAACTTTGTTTACCTTTAAACTCTAAAATATCATGAAGGCAACACGTGCCAACCAAGCTGGACAGAAGACATGGTAGATTCAGGTTACGGCCAACCTCACATCCACTCTGAGCCTCACATTCACTGAGTTACATGGCCAATGGAACTGTCTGTATTATTTAAATTATTTTTTCTTTAAAAATATTTTTTAGCCAAGTGTGGTGGCTCACACCTGTAATCCCAGCACTTTGGGAGGCTGAGGAGGATGGATCACTTGAGTCCAGGATTTCGAGACCAGCCTGGCCAACATGATGAAACCCCATCTCTACTAAAAACACAAAAATTAGCCGGGAGTGGTGGCACACACCTGTAATCCCAGCTACTCAGGAGGATGAGGCAAGAGAATAGAGAGGCAGAGGCTGCCGTGAGCCTGAGCCAAGATGGCACCACTGCACTCCAGCCTGGGCAACAGAACGAGACTCTGTCTCAAAAAATATATATATATTTAATTTTTAGCCAAGCAGATGTAGTCAAATGTGACTCCAATGTGGCTACTATTGCTAAGTGGGGACATCTAAGACACTAGTCACTGCTAAGGTTGAGCTAAGCCTATTCCCACCCAGAATTCTGTATCTGCTTCAGGTGTGTACTTTCCACAGGTAATCTGTGTGGGCCAGATCATCTGTGCTGTGGTTGCTGAGACAGATGTACAGGCAAAACGAGCAACTGAAAAGATAGAGATCACCTATGAAGATCTGGAACCTGTAATCTTCACCATCAAGGTAAACAGGGCTGGCCAGTCTCTCCCTAAGGTTGTAGAGTTAAAAGTACCTTTGTAAAAATCTTAATGAAGGATCTAATTTTTTTTTTCTTGCCACTGGTTTGCTCTGGAAAAATCAACTTTCTTTGGAAAACTTTACTTGTACAAGCTGAAATTATCTTTGGTTCCAAGGAATGGAAAAAACAGAAGTTTCTCACTTTCAAAAAGTCTAGAAGTGGGCAGCCCAGGTCTTATAAGGCGTTCTGTGTGTTTAGGATCCAGCCTTCTCATATCTAGTCACTCCATCACGCATTGCTTCCTGGAAGGCACATTTGGTCCACAATAGCCACGGGAACTCTAGCCATTACATCCACATTTCAGACAGCTGAGAGAATCAGGTGATGAAGAAGGGTGTGCCCCCTCCCTTTAAGGACACTTCCAGTCCTTAAAAGGAGGCATGTATGTGGCACATGCCTTCCTCCATCTCTTTGTTTGGAACCTGGTCGCGTGCCACACTTAACTGTAAGGGGAGCTGGGAAATGTGGATTTTGTTCCAGGTTGCCAGAGAACCACTACAGATCGGAGACTCTATGACTTGAGGAGGAAGGTGAGGATGCATACTGGGAACAGTAATGTTTTGAAGGTGGAGCCCAAATGCAGTGGAACTTTCATGGTGGAATTCCACAGAAACTTCACTCTCATTTCTGAGTCTAGATAATGATATTCAAATGGTATTTCAGGGAAGATAATGGAGTGAGGACAGACAGTTCAGGTGTGGACTGGGGTTTGCAGGTTCTAACTCAGTGAGGGACAGGTTCAGAGTCATTGACTTGAGAAAAGCTTACTTGTTTGTGTGCTTGTGACAGAACAGCAAATGTGTCCAGAGGCTTTTGTGAACCATTGGGACATTTTAAAACGTAACTAAACAGTACAAATTGCTCAATATTTAAAGTGTTTTAAAAAAAAAATGTTTCTTGATCTTCCTAAACCAAATCAACTTTGTTCCAAATTCCCATTTGCCAAGTTTGCAAGAAATCCAGGCCATTTTTCTTGGCTCATTCCTCTTCCTTGGGTTGAATGAGGATCCTAATAAGGGTTTTTAAAATTTCACTTCTAACCCCACTTTCCTCAAGGGGGAAATGGCACCCAGAGGACACACCCATGAACCATTCTAGAATTCAGAATGGGTAGGGATTTAGAGTTCCCTCGGATTAGGACTGTCCAGAGTCAGCAAAAAGAATCCTCCACAAGTCATAAAATTGTCATATGTAATACCAATAGTGCTTCATCCATCTATTCATTTATTTATATGACTTTATAGATCAGAGGCAACATAGGGTCATGGTTACAAACACAGTTCCTAGAACCAAACTGCCAGATTTGAATAGTGGCTGTACCACTTACTAGCTATGTGACCTTAAGCAAGTTATTTAACCTCTCTGTGCCATGGTTTCCTCATCTATAAAATGGAGGTAGTAATAATACATATCTCATTAGTTTGTCATAAAATTAAATGAGTTAATGGGTATAAAGCACTTAGAACAGTACCTGGCACATGGTTAGCACTCACCCAATATAGCCTATGTTATAACAAGATTATACTGTCTTGGCTGGGCACAGTGGCTCATGCCTGTAATCTCAGCACCTTGGGAGGCTGAGGCAGGCAGATCACTTGAGGTCAGGAGTTCGAGATCAGCCTGGCCAACATGGTGAAACCCTGTCTCTACTAAAAATACAAAAATTAGCCAGGTGTGGTGATGCATGCCTGTAATCCCAGCTACTTGGGAGGCCGAGGCAGGAGAATCGCTTGAGCCCAGGAGGCAGAGTTGCTGTGAGCCAAGATCACGCCACTGCACTCCAGCCTGGGTGAAAGAGCAAAACTCCATCTCAAAAAAAAAAAAAAAAAAATTATACTGTCTTATGACACATTTACAGTATGGCAATAAACATACTTTCACATGTACCAGGATAGCTTCTGAGATCTTAGTATAACAGAAAATGAAAAAAATCAGCTGTATTGTTCATTGTCTGCTGCTTTGAAAAAATCAAGTGTTCATCATTAGATAAAATGTTTCTAAAAACTTAGCCTGGGCTTGAACACTTCCTTTATCACTTATTTACAATATGACTTTGAGAAAGTTCTTTTAACCTCTCTAAGCCCAGTTTCCTCATCTAGGAAACTGAGATAATAACAGAATGAATGTAAGGATACATGTACATACACTGTTATTGCACAGTGCTTAGCACAAAGCAAGCTCTCCATCAATATTAGCTGCTCCCAGGAGGATCATCAGCAAGAAAGGCTATGGCATCCGAGGCCATCAGTCTAGGAAGGCAGGAGACAGGTGTCATTCAGAAGTATGGAAAAATACCTAGGTTCTAAAGGCTAAACAAGGATCCGCTGTCAGTAGGTCATTAAAGAATCAGTCTTTATTTGTAAGTCAGTTCATGTAATTGTCAGGGGAAAAAAAAAAAACACATAGAACAAAGAGCTAGAAAAGCCCTTATGAGATGATGCCAAATACTCAAAGAAAGGAACCAACTTCCTATTAGATTGGTGCAAAAGCAATTGCAAACTTTCATAGCAAAAACTGCAATTACTTTTGCACCAACCTAATACAATGTATACTGGGCTTTCCTGCCCCAGAGATGTGTACTAACTTGTGTCTTCCCCCTCAAGACAGCCTCAGTATTTTTCAGATTCCTGAGTGAGAGGTTCTTGTATCTGAGCTACCTAAGTAATCTAACACAAGTGTTTTTCTTCAAGAAAGAGGTAAAAGAAAAAAAAAAAACAGGCAGATTCCTGAACCTCACCTATCATGCATTTGACTTATCTCATGTTCCCTGAAGAGTCACATTTACATAAGAAATTAGTATTTATCGTCCGGGATCATCATAGTGTCCCCAGCCCTCGGTTCTGAACGTAGCTTGCTTCTGAAGGTCTCGCTAATCCTTCTTGCTGGTTTTCTCTGCAAATCCAGAAGACCTTTCCCCGGACTTCTCATCTCTGCAGTGAGCCTACTGCTCTAATACTCCCTTGCTTGTTTGACACCTTCCATCTGCCCCGGGAGACAGTGATTTTCCAGAGCATGCTAGTTTTTAAGAAAAAACTACCAGTGGAAGGAAAAGTCGGAAGAACTGGCTTTTGTGCTTTTTTTTTCTGCCATGTAGGATGCCATAAAACACAATTCATTCCTGTGCCCTGAAAAAAAACTTGAACAAGGAAATATTGAGGAGGCCTTTGAAAAAGTCGACCAAATTATTGAAGGTAAGCTCCCGGGGATAGTTAATAGACTCTGCCTGATTCTATTCTGAAGCAGGCATCAGAAGCGTATGATTTCCCCTCAGAAAGTCCAGCCTCTAAAGTCTTGGTGCTTTGCCAAATTTCTCTTACGCCTCTTCCTTTCAAATTGTGTGTGTGTGTGTGTGTGTGTGTGTGTGCACATGCACGCGCGGTTTTGGGGTTGAGGGGTAGGAAGCAATAGAATAAATAAAAGAAAATCTCTAAGATTTTGGTTTGGGCAGAGTAAGGAACAAACTTGGCACTTTTAATTTGTTATCCAGAACTGTAGTCTCTGAAACACATTGCTAGAGGACAAATGCCTGGGTCCTTGTCAGGATAAATCCAGGCCACCCAGGCAGGTGACGGTGGCTCACACCTGCAATCCCAGCACTATGGGAGGCCGAGGCAGGTGGATCACCTGAGGTCAGGAGTGCGAGACCAACCTGGCCAACATGGTGAAACCCCATCTTTACTAAAAATACAAAAATTAACCAGGCGTGGTGGCAGGCGCTGTAATCCCAGCTACTTGGGAGGCTGAGGCAGGAGAATCGCTTGAGCCTGGGAGGCAGAAGTTGCAGTGGGCCGAGATCACACCACTGCACTCCAGCTTGGGCAACAGAGCGAGACTCCATCTCAAAAAAAAAAAAAAAAAAATCCAGGTCAGCCAGTCCACATCTTACTGGCTTTTGAATTCTCCAAGACGGTGGCTTCCCACCAGCACACACCTTAGGAGTTGTTCTGTGCTTATGCTTAACAGGAGAGGTCCATGTTGGAGGACAGGAACATTTTTACATGGAAACGCAAAGAGTGCTTGTTATTCCAAAGACAGAGGACAAAGAACTGGACATTTATGTGTCCACACAGGACCCAGCCCACGTGCAGGTGAGGTCCAGGATAACGCTCACATCTCCACCTTCCTAATTCCATGATGGCAGTCGATCCTAGAGCCTCACAGTTGCTGGCCATTTTACCTGCAAAAACCTGGAATCCAAGCATTAGACATCAGACATCAATAATGCAGCCAAGACCTCAGAACCTTTTGTTTTTGTTTTTGGTCTTTTCAAGTAAATAAAAAAATAGTCACAGTAACATTAGGTTTCAAGAGTACGTTCATTTGCATCATGCTTAGATGAACTCTTGTGATGAGATGACACCACTAAATTATTTCTGTACTTGATTTTTCTCTAAAATAATCATCACAGATAACCTTTGGAGTCAACACATCACTTTATAGTACATTTTCATTTCCCCAGTCACAAAGTGCTCTAGGTTTAGCTGCAAACACATCATCTCCTTGGTAGGTTGTCAGGAGTTCACCGGCTTTCACCTCCTTGGGACTTTAGGTCTAAGCATTTGACTAGGAACCCAGCTTCTCACAGGAATCCAGGGCTCTGACCTGGGTTTTGCTTCTGGAAAATACCATTTCTCTGCTAGAAGGGCTGCTCTGTGCAGACCAACAGTGTTTACAAACTAAACGGAGCCCCACCAGATAGGTTCAGATTATCTCCATTTTTTTTTAAGCAGTGGTAGACATGAATGAATTCTGCTGTGATGTTGTTTCAAGACACAAAATCTTCTTTGGCATTTCACTCATAAACCTTCTTGTTATCTCACTTTTACAGAAAACAGTGTCTTCTACTTTAAACATCCCCATCAACAGGATCACCTGTCATGTAAAACGAGTGGGTGGAGGTTTTGGAGGGAAGGTAGGAAAACCAGCTGTATTCGGGGCGATTGCAGCTGTGGGTGCCATCAAGTAAGTATGGTTGGGGATGCCATTTGATACAGAATGGCATCAAATGCACAAAGCTGAGGGCAAATCAGTGGCTGACAGTCATCTGGGCCGCTGTCATAACCATGTGTGTGTCCTTGGGAAATTCAGCCTCCTGCCTGTTTCTTTAAAAAAATGTAAATAATCCTACGTACCCTCCAACGCTTTTAGAGTTATTGCAAAAGTCAAATGTACACAGGACTTTGAATAACTAACATGCTATTGAAAGGAGCAGTGGGACTATTAGCTGAACACCTCCTGAGCTTCAGGGAAAGTGAGCCGTTGAGGGATGGGGCAAGCCACCCTGCCCAAGTGGAGTGTGCTAGGGGAGGCTGCTCCCTGACTCTTCTTTCCTGCTCTCAGACCGAGAACAGGGGGAGGTAAGGAAAGAAAGACTCTTCATCCTCTGCCTCCCTGCACCTGGGAAGGGCTGCGTCCTCAGAGTCTGCTCAATGGACAGACGACTCATCCTCAAAGACAGCTCCCAGGCTGACCTCAGCGGAAGGCTCACTCCTTTGCTGTTCATGCCTCAGATTTGTGTTTAGTTGGTGCTGCTTTTTCTGTTAATGGTTCATTTTCTGTGGCTAACTATTGTGTCAGAGCCCCAAAGGGCATGCAAAGTTCACAGGCCCTGCTTCATTTGACAACTCCTGTAGTTCAGAGCTAGGTCCTGAAACATTCAGACGTAGGTCTCAGTCCTCAATGAGAAGCGGGATAAAGCAGGATCTGAATCCCATCTCCAGTTCTTTCCATAATTAACTCCTCTGCATTCACACCCACTGAGGACTCAGCACAAGCTAATCAGTTCACTGAATTCCCCCCAGGCGTTGTGCCTTTAAGACTTCTCAAACACCACTGCAAGTTAGAATCATCTGGGCAGCATTTAAATCCCAGTGCCTAGGCTGCCCCATACCGACCCAGGTATCAGTATATTTTAAAACTTCCCCAGTGGTTCCACTGTGCAGCCAAGTGTGGCAACCAGTGCCTTAACATTCAACTCTACCTTGGTACACAAGGGCCGTGCATTAAATGATCCTCAGAGTAATGTTCCCAAACCTAATAGTAAGTAAGAGTTGCCTGATGTCATAGACATTCCTGCCTTAGCTGGGCATGGTGGCTCATGCCTATAATCCCAGCACTTTGGGAGGCTGAGACAGGAAAATCACTTGAGCCCAGAAGTTCAAGACAAGCCCGGGAAACATAGTGAAATTCCTGTCTCTACAAAGATTTAAAATAAAATAAAATAAAATAAAATAAAAATAGCTGAGCACAGTAGCACGTGCCTGTGGTCCCAGCTACTCTGGAGGCTAAGGCAGGAGGATTGCTTGAGCCCAGGAGGTCAGGCTGCAGTGAGCTGTGTTCATACCCCTGCACTCCAGCCTGAGTGGCAGAGCAAGACCCTGTCTCTAAACAGAAAGTTCTGCCTACCCATCCCAGCACCACTGAATCAGAATTAGCAGGGGATGGACCTGGAAACTGCATTTCTCTGATGTTCCAGATTGTCCTCACAACTGGGGAAGACCAGGAAACCCTGCACTAGGATAGTGATTTTCAACATTTGCCTGAAGACACCTGAATCAACATCACTGAGAAAAATGCATTCTAAAGCCCCTCCCTGACCCACTGAATCCAAATCCTAGTACAAAGACCCAGGAATATGCATTTTCACCAGCGTGCCAGAGGATTCTTCAGCACTCCAAAGTCTAGAAGCCTCTGCTCTGGAGATGGAGAAAAGATGAGGCTCCTCCCTGCATGAGAGCCCAACTTGGCCAGCATAGCCTTCATGGATGAGAATGGAGACGCTAACCCAGACATCCTAGGATGAGTGTTTGGCCTTGTTTTCCCGGACGTTTGCATTTATCTGTTCACATTCTTTCTCTTTGGTAATAGTACACTATCTCTAGTACACTATCTACTAGAGATAGTACGTTATCTCTAGTGGTGGAGATAATGCAAATGTCTGGATGTGGGTGAAGGTCAAACTTGAAGCTATAGAATTCAACTTAACTGCATGTGACATTAATACTTTTAATGAGATCTCCAACCACTGAGTTATAGAGACAATGATGATTTAGTCATATATTAATTCACATTAGTGTCTAGCATGTTGTATGATATTAATACATTTATATGGGATAAATGAAGGGATAGATGGTTGAATAAGGAGTGGGAGAATGGATGGTGGATGGATGGATAATAGGCAGATACATTGATGGGTGGGTAGATAGTTAAATAAGGGGATGGATAAATATGGGTAGATAGGTGAATGAGAGGATGAATGGACGGACGGACGGATGGATGGATGGATGGATGGATGGATGGATGGATGGATGGGAGGGATGGAGAACCTAAGATTTATTTTCTTTAGAACAGGTCATCCCATTCGTCTTGTCCTTGATCGTGAAGACGATATGTTAATAACTGGAGGAAGGCACCCATTATTTGGAAAATATAAAGTGAGTATTAAAGATGAGTTATTAAAATATCTCATTTTGCCCAGGCACTGTGGTTCACACCTGTAATCCTACCACTTTGGGAGGCCAAGGCAGGCAAATCACTTGAGCCCAGGAGTTCCAAAACCAGCCTGGGCAACATGGGGAGACCCTATCTCTTAAAAATTACAAAAATGAGCTGGATATGGTGCCACATGCCTGTACTCCCAGCTACTTGGGAGGCTGAGGTTGGGTGGATCCCTTGAGCCCAGGAGGTAGAGGCTACAGTGAGCTAAGATTGCACCACTGCACTCCAGCCTGGGCGACAGAGTGAGACCCTGTCTCGGACATAAATAAACAAATAGATAAATAAATATCTGATTTTATCTGAATGGCTTTGCTCTTTTCTAGCATTTTGATTCTGCTAAATTCTAAAAACAAACTTAGCATCTAAAATATTAAATAAGGATGCTGTGTATTTGAATATTCATAACATTTTATGAGGAACTTTTAATAATTCTAGCAAATAATTGTGAAGAAGTTTAATGATAAAAATACAATTTCAAATGATGACCAAAACACTACTTGAAGGAATAAGGATTCACATTAGTAGCTCCTCAAAACAAACAAACACTGATAGAAGGTACAAACATTGCTATGCCAAACCTTCTTGACTATACAAATATTTTTCGGTGGAAATGTTTGGAAACAATTTGACCATTTTAACTGCAAAATCATTTTTTACAAGTGTTTTTACAAAGTGGCTATGATACTGTCACAAAAGCTTTTTGCATGTAAGAAAAAATAATACAGTAAGTAGTGAATTTAAAATTGTTTCAAACTGCATTTACTGCATTTTTATGTAATTATAATATAAACATCTTAAAAATACTTGCTGGCCATGAGCTTACAATACTACCTTTTCAAATCTGTGATTGAGCTGTTACAATCATTCTAATGTAATCTAAGTTGTATTGAACATACTTTACCTGGGAATTGCTTGCAGCATATTCATAGTTAGATTTTCTATCTGATTTTGTCATTGCCTTCGATTATCTTCCCTGTATTACAAAAACCACAGTTTTCTATAGCACAGAACAATTGTATTTCTTCCATTAGCATTAATAATTTTTATAATTGGAGAGGAAGACCCTCTCTAATAGTTGGCCAATTAAACTTTTCATTTGCCTTCAAATGCACAGATATTAAGTCACAGCTATTATTGTCCTATAAAACTGAGAGAAATGTAGAGACACACTGCTAAGATTGGAGCAGTTGCGGTTGTGGTGATGGTTGTGCTCTTATCAAAGTTATGAGATTGTTTTAGTACTAACACTTGTTAAGAAGATTCTGGACTGTTAATATTTTGGTAATTATAGTAACATAAAGTATAAAAGAAGGAAATAGATTTTTTGAAAAATCCAAGTTTTATTTTATATTTTGGCTGGGTGTGGTGGCTCACACCTGTAATCCCAGCACTTTGGGAAACTGAGGCGGGTGGATTACCTAAAGTCAGGAGTTCGAGACCAGCCTGGCCAACATAGTGAAACCCTGTCTCTATTAAAAATGCAAAAGATTGACTGGGCGTGGTGGCACGCACTTGTAGTCTCAGCTACTTGGGAGGCTGAGGCAGGAGAATGGCTTGAACCCAGGAGGCGGAGGTTGCAGTAAGCCAAGATTGCACCACTGCACTATATACCCTGGGCAAGAGAGAGCAAGACTCCATCTCAAAAAAAAAAAAAAAAAGAAAAGTCCAACTTTTATTTTATTTTTTAAGAAACAATTTCAATTCCAATATAATATATATAAACAATTTCATGTCTCATATATATATACACATATATATAGATATATAAAATCCTTCAGCCACAGCTAATAAAGTTTTGCTAGGTTATTCAGAACTACTTGTAAATTAGGATAACATGTGTTTATGTGTAAATAGGTTCTTCCAAATTTTTGAAAAGTTTATATGAAATAGTTTAAGGGTTCTGCTACCTTATTTATAGTACTATTTTGCTTAGCAGTCCTTTCTTCATGAAAGTCAAAGGTAAACTTCGAAGTCTAATGTTGACCCTGTAGTTATATGGTCGTGTGGATCCTTCTGTTGTATTTATCCTGCTTTCAGAAAGGCAAAGGGACCTGGGTCAATCCTCATTTGGTAGAACTACAGTAGGGAGTGGGGATTTTTCTTTTCTTTTTAATGTGGACTGTAGAGACAAAATGGTCTGGGTGGGTGGAGGGGAGTCACAACATTAAAAGAATGCAAGCTGCCTTAAGCTCTTCCCAAACAGTAACAACAGCACGAGCTCAGGTTTGTTAGGTCGGGGAAGCATGTACAAAGCACCTTCACCACCTAGCGAAAAGAGAGCAGTCCCCATGCATCCATTCAAGGCCCTCAGCTTCAGAGGCTTTCCCATAACAAGATACACTGTGATTCATTCCAACACATTCTGGAATTCCAGAGACTTTTTCACCAGGGAGGAAACCACAGACTAAATTAGAAAGAAAAATGAAGGAGAATCTTCCAAGAATAAGGACAAAGAGGGTGGCAATTATAGTCCAGGAGACAAGCAAAGTCTTTAGAATTCCATGCTGACTGTGAAGCCAGAAAATCACATGTTGGAAGGAAAGAGCTCAGCAAAATTCAGCTCAGAAGAAGTCTCCATCAGTCAAGCAAGGCATGGTACACCATAGAGCAAACAGGGAGCTGAGTCTGGCCTCTGTCCTGCCCTATGGGGGAACTAGGCTACGTCTCACAATTGGCATGCGAATTTTGAACATTTCAGTAAATAACCATCATTTGGTGACAGGTAGGATTCATGAACAACGGGCGGATCAAAGCTCTGGACATTGAGTGCTACATTAACGGAGGATGCACGCTGGATGACTCTGAGCTGGTATGTACACCAGAAAGCAGCAACATGTTTGACCATGAGTAGAATGCCAAATTTCTAGATGACTCTTTACGAAGTTTATTTCCTAACGTAGTTAAATTCCACAAGCAGTTTGACTCTGTACTTGACTTTCAGAGAAAGAGAAAAGAAAAAAAAAAGTGATGATATGTGAATATCCCTTTTTAGGTAACAGAATTTCTAATACTAAAGCTGGAAAATGCATATAAAATTCGCAACCTCAGGTTCCGGGGCCGTGCATGCATGACAAATTTACCGTCCAATACAGCCTTTCGTGGATTTGGCTTCCCACAAGGAGCCCTAGTAACAGAATCGTGCATCACAGCTGTGGCAGCCAAATGTGGCCTTCCGCCAGAAAAGGTAAGGTTGTAACCAAGGCCATAACCAAAGTTGCTGATGAATGAGACCAGTGGCAAACCCAGCTTCTTTGACCCAAGGAAACACACTAGAAGAACCACATGAATTAGCCCCGGCTCAGAATTCACCTCACCCTATCTTACTCCTTCCTTACTTATGCAAACATCTCTTTTTTTTTAATTCGTACCAAAATAATTACTCTATTTAAAATTCAGACCACACCAACGTAATCAAAAAAAGGGAATGCCCCTTTTTCCACCCCCATCCCTCTTGGTCAAGGGTAATCATTGTTAATAATTCCGTGTTTATTGTTCTACCCCTTTTTCTATCTTTGGCCACCCATTTGTATTCATACACACACACCTAAACATTGACATATAACATATATGTGCACATGTATGGTTATTTACCAGAATGGGACCATAGCATACATATTACTCTGCCTCTGCCCCTTCCTTCTCCTACAGGACAGTATGCCATGGCCATCTTTCCACGTCAGTAGAATGGTCTGCTTCGTTCTTTTTCATGACTGGATAGTACTATGTAATATGCACGTACCATAACTTATTTAGCCACTCCACTATTAATGCTATTAATATACATTCTGGTTGTTACCATTTTTCACCATTAAAATGTTGCTGCAATAAACGTCTTGGTACATATGTACCCAGGTATATGTTTGCTTTATTGTATATCTCTAGGATAAATTTACAGAAGTGGAATTACTGGTGCACTTGAAAACTTTTCAGAAATACTGCCAGAAGAACGCCCTCTGAAAAATACTGTTTTTCACAATAGACCAGAAGCGTGCTCGCTTCGGCAGCACATATACACAATAGACCAGAAGGTGCACAGGATGTACAGTATGCTGGACTAGAGAGAGGCAGCTTCTGGAACTGAGATCATGGTCAATAACTTGCTTCCACTCCCCAAACATTCCAGTCAGAGCCCACCCTACCTTTTCCATTTCTGTCCCCTGTTTCCCCAATACAGAACCCCTGCTCCAGCAAGAACTCTCCTATGTATTGTCCCTAGAACTGTTTTGTCCCTAAATTCAACAGGAATTCCAGGTTTGTAATCGTCGGGGTACTTCCTACAAACAAGAGAACACCTAATATTTTGTACAAGGAAGGCAGTAGTTATCCTAAGAGAAGTCACGTACAGTGTTCCATGGGTACCAAAGAAGGAAGGCATCACGTTGGCATGGGAGAGGGGAACCAGGAATCACTTTCTGGAGAAGATGGCACTTGAGATAGGCCTTGAAGAATAATAGGCACTGAGGTTGGAAAGGTGTTCTAGGCAAGTAGAACAGCATGAGCAAGAGCGTCAATCTCTGTGTGGTTCAGTTTCCTTATCTATAAATGACTCACCTCACAGAGTTCCTGCAAGAATCAAATAATTTAACATTCATTACGATATTTGTTTTATAAACTGGATAGTATTATTCCAATGTTGTTGCCAATAATAATAATTCTTTTATTGTGATTAGAATAAATGGAGATGATTTAAAAAAAAAAAAAACTTCTAGGCATATCTCAGCAGGCTCTCCTTTGTCAAGTGTTGCAAGTTTCCAGGACATATCACATAAAACACGGCTTATTCAAATAAACCATTTTTCTTTCTTTTTTTTTCTTTCTCTCTTTTAGAGATGAGGTCTCACAATGTTGCCCAGGCTGCTCTTGAACTCCTGAGCTTAAGTGATCCTCCTGCCTCAGTCTCCCAAAGTGCTAGGATTACAGGTGTAAGCCACCACACCAGGCCCAAAGAAACTGTTTAAAAGATTTATCCATACATTCCAAAGGCACTTAGAAGACTTAGAGGGGATCTACTATTATTTGCAATGCTATTCCTCCCTGGCAGAACAAATTTTCAGTTATGACAATGAATCCTTGCTTTAGGGTACTGCCTACCAGCTCTTCTCCATCCTCTGAACCTTGTAGAATAAAAAGAAAAGAAAAGGGGCCTCCCTAGGCCCCTCTATCCCACTGCCTTTTGTGGACTAGTCTCCACCTGCTACCCTCCACTTCTAGTGGGGAGTGACCCTAACTGGTACATTGATGAAGAGGTAAAAAATAACCTCTACTATTTTTGCAAAAGCATGTGCCATTCAAAGAAAAAACAGACCCTGTCTTCCCTTCTTTACAGCTTGTGCTTTAGTGGAGATGCTTTTCAAGTCTCTATTTGGCCATCAGTTTCTGTCTTACCATAACTATTGACTGAATTTCCCACCTGTTTCAGATTAGAGAGAAAAATATGTACAAAACAGTTGACAAAACCATCTACAAACAAGCATTCAACCCTGAGACCCTGATAAGATGTTGGAATGAATGTCTGGACAAGTCTTCCTTTCACAGCAGAAGAATGCAAGTCGAAGAGTTCAATAAGAAGAATTATTGGAAGAAGAAAGGCATTGCTATTATTCCCATGAAGTTTTCAGTTGGCTTTGCTGCAACAAGCTATCATCAGGTAAGACTTGTATATAGGATAAATAACACTCATGCTAGACACACTCCTGGCCCAATCAGCTTCTGTGGACTTTGAAAAATATCTCATTTCTTAGAGCACTGAGCCAGCCTAAGTTGGTTGGCAAGGTTGGCCAACCAACTCTGCCAACACCTAAGAGAAATGTATAGAACTGTCCAGAGCAGCACCCCCATCTGCAAACATTTTTAATACAGTGCAATATTTGTTTCCTTCTTGGGAAACAAATCCCTAATCAACTGAAGTCAGGAAGACCTGAGAAATCCTCGGCTCTGTTTTCACTAGGCGTGCGACATTAAGTTATTCAACATCTCTGAGCCTCAGCTTTCCCAGTTATAACAACAACAACAATAATAATAATAATAACAATAACTCTGTCTTAAGATTGATGAGGACTCAGTGAGCTAGTGAGTGTAGAGCAGCACTTGGCTGGGTTCCTGGAACACTGTGGATGTCATCCAGAGCATCCCTGAGCCCCTCCCAGGAGAGCTCAGACACTCCTCTCAGGGCACCTCCTCCTCTGGTGGGTAGGATGAGACCCCCTGAACCTCTGGGTCACATTTCTGTTCAGGCCCAGCATGCCCCTTCTATAAACAGGCACAAGAAGGTTAACTGTCATGTCTGCAAGCTAGATGGAATCAAAGGCTGCAGCGTCAGAGAAACTTGAGAGCTGCATGTGTGGTTTCCTCTCTGACGCCAAATATTGTCTTTTCCAAACCAACTGCAACACCAAGTGAGTGTCCAACCATTCTGTTCTCACACTAACTACCAGAGTTAGTGCAGACTCCACAGATCAAGGGCTGAGTCCCACAAGACCGCCCCTATTTCAGACACCAGCTTCAAATGGAGGGCTCCGGCTACTCACACTCCTGCCTGGCCAACTACTAATTTGGAGGTTTTCACTACCCCCATTCAGGTTTGATAATTTGCTAGAATGACTCATGGAACTCAGGAAAGCACTTTACTTATGACCATTACCAGTTTACTCTGAAGGATACAACTCAGGAACAGCCAGATGGAAGAGCTGCCTAGGGCAAGGGATGGGAAGGGGGCAGAGCTTCCCTGACCTCTCCAGGCAGACACCCTCCCAGCACCTCCACATGTTCACCAACCCAGGAGCCCCCAGACTGCATCATTTGGGGTTTTTATGGAGGTTCCACTACACAGGCATGATTGATTACAGCATTGGCCATTAGTGACTGAACTCAATCTCTAGCCCCCATCCCAAGAAGATGGGGAGGAGGACTGAAAGATCAATGCACACCGCCTCCAAGCCCCCATCCTAAAGCTACCTAAGCCCTTCTCATGAGTCATCTCATTAGCAGAAAAAAATTCCAAGGCTTTATGAACTCTGAACTAAGAACCAGGGGCAAAGATCAAATATTTACTTTTTATTATAACACACCTCCCTTCACCTGTATGGCTACACCGCATCTAAACCACAGCCTACACTCTGCCATCATTCATGGGAACCAACATCTCATCTCATCACAAAGAAAACCTTCAAATCAAGCAATGACTTTTAAGTTTCCATTGGAATATCCTCCAGCTGCCCCACAGAGTTCTAAATTGAGGCACCCTAGAATCACCTGGCTAGGAATAGAAGGGTGTTATTCCAGGTCAGCTGATGACTCACAAAGCTGGAACACCTACCATCTAAATTGGCAATGAGAGTTCTGTCCTCAGTGGGAGTCAAAAGGCCCACGGTAAGTAAATCCTATTATTAACAGCTACAAGCCTCGATGCTCCCGAGTCCCTCTGAGCCAACCCTGGACCTCCAGGCATCTGGAGACACAAATGGGCTGAAGCCTTCGTTCCTCCTCCTCCTGGAAGGAAAAAAATACCACCTTTCCCTTTGTCCAATTTATCAAACATTGATGTAGTGTCCCTGTGATTCAGACCCACTCCGAGATTTTTTTTTTTTTTTTTTTTTTAAGACAGAGCTTTGCTCTTGTCACCCAGGCTGGAGTACAATGGCACAATTTCTGCTCACTGTTAACCTCCGCCTCCCAGGTTCAAGCGATTCTCCTGCCTCAGGATCCCAAGTAGCTGGGATTACAGGTGCCTGCCACCACGACTGGCTAATTTTTGTATTTTTAGTAGAGACGGGGTTTCAACATGTTGGTCAGGCTGGTCGCAAACTCCTGACCTCAGGTGATCCACCTGCCTTGGCCTCCCAAAGTGCTGGGATTACAGGCATGAGCCACCACGCAAGGCTGGGACCTGCTCAGAGGTATTTACAGGACACAAAGATGAGTTAAGACCAGGTGCCCCTCCGTGGCGAGACTCTCAGAGAAGATCCTTTTACCTCCAGGATTCCTTACCTGTGGCTGCTCTAACAAAGTACCACAAACTGGGTGACTCAATAATGACAAACTATTCTCTCACAATTCTGGAGGCCCGAAGTTCAAACTCAAGGGGTCAGCAGGGCCATGCTGCCTCTGAAGGCGTCAGGGAAGAATCTTCCCTTGCTCTTCCAGCTTCTGGTGGCTCCTGGTATTACCTGGCTCGTGGCAACATAACTCCAGTCGCGGCTGCCTCCATCTTCCATGGCCCTCTTACAAGGACACCAGTCATTGAATTCAGGGCCCCCACAATCCAGTATGATTTTATCTTAAGTAGTTGCATCTGCAAAGACTACATAAAGTTGTGTATTGAGGTTTCAGACAGACATGAATTTTAGGAGGCAGGGGAGGGACACGCTTCAACCCAGTATTCCTGTAAGGAGAAGTACAAAGAAGGAAGTGATCGATCCTTCCCAGATGGGGATGAGACACATGTGAGGAAGTTTTTGGGTTGTTTTGTTTTCTTTTCTTTTGTTTTCCTGAGACGGAGTCTTGCTCTGTCACCCAGGCTGGAGTGCAGTGGTGCGATCTCGGCTCACTTCAACCTCCGCCTCCTGGGTTCAAGCAGTTCTCTGCTCAGCCTCCCAAGTAGCTGGGATCACAGGCACCCACCACTATGCCTGGCTAATTTTTGTATTTTTAGTAGAGATGGGGTTTCACCATCTTGGCCAGGCTGGTCTTGAACGCCTGAACTCTTGATCCACCCACCTCAGCCTCCCAAAGTGCTAGGATGAGTACAGGCGTGAACCACAATGTCCGGCCAAGTGAGGAAGTTTTAACAGAATGTAGACTGTGGGACGTGGCCCTGCAGGCTGGGCAGACGGGTAAGGAACAGGAGGAGAAGCCGGCCAGAACAAGAGATCGGACAGAAGCAAGGAGCACAGGTCAGAAAGGAGACTGCAGTGGGGCCAGTCTCGGAGGCAAGGCAGGGGGCCACAAGGACTGTACAAGAGACCAAATCCCACAAGGCCTCCTAGTGGAATAAGGAGCCGAGCTTTCCCTTCCAGGCTGTGGGGGGTTTGCCCACCTTGCCCATGGCAAAGCCTTCTTCAGTCTGTGATTCTCTTCCGTTGTCACTTGTCACCCCTGAGCAGCACAGGAGTTGGACCTGTCCTCCCAGGTCTCCCAGGGCACCATATGCCACTCTCATTATCTCACTGGTCATCCTACACTACAGTGACTTGCTCTCCAGCCTGTCTTTCCACCACACTGTGAGCAGCTTGAGGAAGAGCCATGTCTTGTTCATCCTTATGTATCTAGAGCTCAGCACAGTTGGTACACGCTATGTGCAAGTAACTAAAACATTTAAATAACTAGCTTAATGGTCAGCCAGTGATTTTAAGCATGAGAGTGACTTTCAAACAACTGGAACCGATACTACCAACTCCTGGGGTATCCAAAGGGGCTCCTATGAAAATCAGGAGGAATGTTCTTTACAGGCGACTTTTTGCACAAAACAGAACTAAACTTCAGCATCCTACCAGGAAAGTTTGCTTCTCTGACCCCCTCCACTCCCTGAGACTGGTGTTTCACTACCTTATGCTTTATATTGAACCTCACCAAATGCTAGCTTGCACTGAGCTATGCCTTCCGATTCTTTTACTAGGCAGCTGCACTGGTTCATATCTACACAGATGGGTCTGTGTTGGTCACACATGGAGGCAATGAACTGGGACAAGGTATTCACACCAAAATGCTGCAGGTAAAATAAATAAAATTAAAGCATTACTCTCTATATACATTGTTGAAAGTTGGGATTCATCTCTTAGGGTAAATGCTGACTCCCTGTATTCAAACACTGAGATCTTGACTATTTAGTTGGAAGGTTTCTTACATATCAAATAGAAAGGCTGAGGTGGCAGAAATCCCACGTGTATGCAGACAGTCCTGGAGCTTGGCCAGGGTTCATGGATGGGGGTGATCATTAGTGAAAACGCCACTAAGAAACCCATGGAGCCCTGTGGTGGGCGCTCCAAGCAGGCAACCAGGAGCAGGAGTTTCTCAGCTTTTGTAGTTTTAATGTTTACATTTTAGACAACAATATTAGATTGCTAATGTTTTATTTTGACAAGTAAGGATGAGTATTTCATCAACAGCCATCATCCTACAAGTTTTATAAGATATTTAACACACATACATACACACCAATTAGTAAGAATATAATCTCAGGAGAAAACAAGAATAATTCTTTAAATAACCCTGTGACAAATGTATTAGATTGTTATGGCGTGCATCTGTAGCTTTTGACCATCTAGCCCCTTAGGTCATTTGGAGTGCTGTACCTCTCACATGCCATAGATTTCTGAAAGACTCCTCAATTAGGGTACCTTTCAGCTCCATCCCCACCCTTACTCCCATGCCTGCTGCACATCTAGGCACAAGACCCGCCTCTGGTCAGTCAGGGTTCCAGAATCCCACTGACTCTGGGAAACGACACATGATTCAAGCAAGGCCACTCAGAACCTTTCCTGGGATTGATGTGTAGATGCTGGGAGAAAGGAGCCATCTTTCCCCTGTAGTTGCTTAGGTACTATACTATAGGGCAGGGGCTGCCACAGGCAGTTCTGTGCCATGGATGGAACCTGTCTACTGATGTCAATGGTGTGGCCATCGTAGAAAGAAAAGCAAATGTGAGAGGCTGAGAGGAGACCCTGATGAGACCACAAAGCCCCTAGATCCACATGTACTTCACACTAGCTCCATCTATCCTGCTCAGTTATATGAACCAATAAATTCCCTTTGGATTTTCACCACCAAGAAACAACAAAGTCATCCCTTTTTTTCATTTTGCATCTTTCTGGAGAAACTTCATATTGAATGAAATTAGTCCGAAGATCAGCATTTGGGAACAGGATATCTTGAGAAGGTGTTTTTTGCAAAAACAAAAAGACAAGAGAAGCCAAAATAATGTTTTTTCCTTGTCCTTTCTTCTCTTTCATTTCTTTCCTTTTCATTTCTTGATTAAATATCTTCATCTCCACATGTGTTTGCTAGAGAAACTGGAAGGAAAAGAACAGAAAAGAAGCCAGGTGCAGTGCATGCACCTGTAGTCCCAGCTACTCGGGAGGCTGAAGCAGGAGGGTCACTTGAGTCCAGGAGATCAAGATCAGCCTGGGCAACACAGTGAGACTCCATCTCTAAAATAATAATAATAATCTTTTTAAAAATATTTTTAAAAAACAGAAAAAATGAACAGCAAATACTGGAGGAATATAAGCAAGGGAGAACAAATAGAAAAAAAGTGGGGAGGATAAGAGCAAGAAAAAGGTCCTCAGGGTCATTCCAAGTTCATCTGATACTGATATCGAAAGATTTCAGACCAAATTCTGAGTCAATCTCATCTCAGTCTTCCCTCTCTCTCTCTTTCTCTCTCTCTCTCCCTCCATCCCTCTTTTTCTTCCTGCCACTGAACCAAGTAAGTGCCTGAAAATCTCAATTTGGCCTACTTCCTACACATTTAAAACTTAGAAAAAAGGAAATTCTTAACATTCTAAATGGACTAAATTTGAAAAGAACCACTGTGGAATATTACCAAGAAAACACTGTAAAAATCAGCATGAGGCCTTACAAAAAAAGTAGTTTTGATGCTTATAAAGTAAATTATTTTAGTCTTAAAAGGGTATTATGGATGTAATAACAAATAATTTTTATTCAGAAAAATAATGATTCAAATATTAATAGAAGTCCTTGCTGGACTTAAAAATATTTGTTTATCATAGGTGGCCAGCCGTGAGTTAAAAATACCCATGTCCTGTATCCACATCTCTGAAACGAGCACAGCAACAGTACCTAATACAATTGCTACAGCAGCGTCTATCGGTGCAGATGTCAATGGCAGAGCTGTGCAGGTGAGTCTTCCTGTCTCTCCCTGGTGTGCCTCTCCCACGTCTCTGGTTTTTATGGCTGGATACAGGTACAATAGTTGACTTCAGAGAAGTCATCTGGGTCACTAAACATAGTCTGGGATAACTAAAATATTGGGAGGGTGTATTTGGAGTAGGCTAAATTGAGATGACAGACGCAAAATGTAAAGGCTCAAACACAGTAAAAGTCCCTGTCTTGTACACGTATTAGTCCCGAGCATTGTTTGGTCATTTGAGCACCCAAATTGATGGAGGCTCCACCATCTTCAACATGTGGCGTGCCAAGTTGCCCTGGGTGTCATCATTCTAGTAAGCATAGGGAGCCGGTGTGGAAGACTCTGAGCCAGATCTGGAAGTGATGCAACCTCCACTCACAGTCCATTAGCAGAACCAGTTTCAGGCTATGTCTAACTGCAACGGAGGTTGGGAAATGTAGAGTAGTGGGACACCGTATGTCCAGCTGATATGGAAGAAGGGGAGAATGGATTTTGGTGAACAGGCAGTCTCTGTTCCTAGGAGACACAGCAAGAAGAAATTTGACTGCCAAGTAATGCAGAGCTGCGCAAGTTTCTTCCAGCATAACCAGGTTCTTGCAGGCAGCTAGGCAGGCAGACCCCAGCCAAAGAGACAGGGTGCAATGGACGCATTGTCTTCAGCGGTATTTTACCGAGTACTTAGAGCTTTTCTTTGTACTGATTTTTTTTTTAACTGATATTTTTTAAAAAGTGCTAAATTTTCACTGTCTCAGAATAGAATCATGACTTCATACTCCTTAATTCAAATATCTGATTGCATGTACTTTTGAAATATATCTATTCGTCATGTTTCTGTTGCAAATTGTTCACTTTTCCACTGGGATATTGTGGTGAGCCATATTTTCCCAAAATGCTACAATGATACCACCAGCAGGAACCCCTTTCAAATCAGTCCAATTTTGTGGTGGTATCACTTAAGGAATCAAAAAGCAAAAACTCTTTTTTGCTTGGAACAAATGTATGAGAAACCTCAAATGCATGAGATCTAATTTGGAGTAGGGTCAAACACAAGAGAGGAACAGGGAACAGCTCAGAGTGTATGGGAGTTGTCAGCCCAAAATAAGTGTCAATCCATCTTCTAGAGTATTAAGTTTTAGATTTCTTTTAAAGATCAGAAACTTTGTGGATCTAGGTCATTATAAAGTAAATTTAATTGTTTTCTCATTTCATACCCAAAGCCAAGGCCTTTATTGTATTGGTTTGATGGTGGTTGAATGAACAAATGGAGGGTGAGATCAGACACAGGGGGATTCTGGCATGTCATTGTTACAGACTGGAAAGCACAAATTTGAATGAAAATAGGATGTTTATTCCATTTGGAATAAACATGGCCGGGTGCCGTGGCTCACGCCTGTAATCCCAGCACTTTGGGAGGCCAAGGCGGGCAGATCACGAGGTCAGGAGATCGAGACCATCCTGCCCAACATGGTGAAACCTCGTCTCTACTAAAATACAAAAAATTAGCCAGACGTGGTGACACACGCCTGTAGTCCCAGCTACTTGGGAGGCTGAGGCAGGGGAATCGCTTGAACCCAGGAGGCAGAGGTTGCAGTGAGCCAAGATCATGCTGCTGCACTCCAGCCTGGTGACAGAGCAAGACTCCATCTCAGGAAAAAAAAAAAAGAGAGAGAAATATACAAAAATACAGAAGATGTAGAAAAAAATGCTAAGGGCCAGGCACAGTGGCTCATGCCTGTAATCCCAGCACTTTGGGAGGCTGAAGTAGGCAGATGGCTCGAGCTCAGGAGTTCAAGACCAGCCTGGGCAACATGGTGAAACCCCATCTCCACAAAGAAGACAAAAATCAGCCAGGCTTGGTGGTGAGTGCCTGGAGTCCCAGTTACTCAGGAGACTGAAGTGGGAGGATTGCTTGAGCCCAGATGTCGAGGTTGCAGTGAGCCAAGATGGTGCCACTGCACTCCAGCCTGGTTGACAGAGTGAGACCCTGTCTCAAAAAAATACAAACCAAAAAAAGAGAGAGAGAGAAGTTAAGAACCTGAATATTCTAAGAAAGAGGATCTGAAAGTAGAAATTCAGCTGAACCCATATTTTCACAGGAATTGAGACAGGAAGGGTGAAAAAACCCTCCAGTAACCAATACTGTTGTCAAGGGCAGGAGTTGTGTTGCCGAGTTTTCAGGATCACGCACTCCATAGCACTTGCTGACCTAATCAGTGAACATTTGTTCACACAAATCGTAACCACCAGAACCACTGGGCTCTTCTCTAATGTGGATTCCATTCTTTACTACTTCAAGAATGCTTGTCAGATCCTTCTGAAACGCCTCGAGCCCATCATTAAGAAACATCCGGAAGGTACATGGGAAAACTGGGTAAGTGTTCCACTCCCTTTGTTACTACAAATGAGAAAACAATCTAAACCAGTACTGAGACAGCACCACAGCCGTGCACAGCCATCACACACAGAGACAGTTCCTCTAAGTGTCACAGTGATGGAGCATGCCCCCTGCTTCTTCCCCAGTTGAGTGGATTTCTGCAAACAGGCAGGATCTCTAAAGGTTGAGGAGGCTACTCCAGGATGTGTACCAGGTGTGTATGGAGAAAGCACACAGGAAACAGCAATCACTGGAAGGAGAAATAGAAGTGTATGAAGAATACACTCTGCTTAAGTAAGAAATAAGAGCAAAAGAATGAGCCTTCCTAAGCCACACACACACACACACACACACACACACGTGCACATGATGTTCTGGATAGGTTAAGAAGAAAACTAAAAGGCCTATTTACTGTTGAATGGCTCAAAGGAGACGACTAACTTAATCCAACTTTGCAATATCCTATGACTTTTTTCATTAGAACAATTATTTCACATTTACACACATGCTTACTATAAAGTTCTAACATTTAGAAATGAAGTCCAAATACCTTGTGCACTGAGCCCCTATCTCAGGGATGTGCAGCAAGATTCTGTTTTATGTTGGTTGAACAACCCAGACTTCTAAACTCAATCAGAAGGAAATTGTTAGTGTGCCAGTTATGGAAAAATAATATGATTATGAGTTCTATTATTAGTAGCAAAGCACCAGCAACAATTATGAGATGTCAGTTTTAGATTGGACATTTCTGTCTTCACCTAGCAGATGGTATATTTGTTTTGCTTTAACTAAATATGCCCATTTTGCAGATAGAAGCTGCATTTGAACAAAGAATCAGTCTCTCAGCCACTGGATACTTCAGGTAAACACCACAATAATATCTTGATGTAGCTGAGAAAATACGACGTAACTCAATCACTGTTGATGGCTGTTGTGATACTTTGGTTCTTGTCTTCTTAGTTTAAAAGAATTTAAACAAGAGACACAGCAAACAAAAAGAGACACACAGGAAAAGATGTGCGGCATTGAGTAATTTATTGCAAAAAAAAAAAGAGTATTTTGAAAATGAGGTGCAGAGTAGACAGTACACCCTGAGAGAGAATTTCGGGCAGGCTGTCCGTAAGGATGAGACAGCAAAGACTAGCATGGCAGATGCTCCCTTTATGGGGGTCTTAAATGATTATTCATGAGGAAGTGGGAAGAGGTGTTACTAGTAAGCACGTTCTGGGTGGTCTTCTGGGTGCACACGTGCAGCTGTACATGCTTGTTCATACATTACATGTCTCATTAGTATCTTCAGTCTCCACCCGGAGGTGTGTTTTTTACTATTAAAATAAGCAAAGGGTCAGTTTGAGGACAGGTAAAGTCAAAGTGTCCATGCTCTCTACATGGGAAATTCCCTACTGAAGATAGCTTTGCTTGAATGAGTGCGACTACAATGGAAATGCTGAGGCTTTCGCGTTGATTGTGCTGTCACCACAGTGCTGGTGCTGCGTCCAGAGAACATGGTCACTTTCTTGACTACCAAACTGCCTCAACTCTGGGCCGCAGGTCCCTCATTTGTAAAATACATTTTTATTATGTGACTGCTGAGGTCCCTTCTACGCCCAAAATTCTATGATTTCACATAGGCCTTTCAGTTATGTCAAAAAAAAATTAAACAACAAAACACCCTTATTGGGGGAAAAAAAGATTAGATGCTTGACTTACAACATCTAATCATTATAATCATTATTTACTATTTATTTAATCATTATTTACATATTTACATTATTTATTTAATCATCTAATCATTTACTATTCTTTATTGTGAGTAGTAAAAATACATTATCATTAGAAATGACTTCCATCTCAATTTTACAAATCCCCCTTCCTTTACCATAAAACCTGTCTATTTTGAAGCTCCTTACTAGACAACGGAGAATGAGTAGGATGATAATCACCAGTCATTGTCAAATTCAAGAAGCATGTGACATTAGTTTTACAGTCTGATCAGACAAACCACCAAACAATAGACACATACACACACAAAACAGTAAAGCAAATCCTCATGAAGAATGAGGAAATAAGGAGATAACAGCCCAGCCCAGAGCCTTGTACATAATGAGTTCTAAATTCCTAAGTTCAGTTACCCAAGAAGAGAGTAAACCAGCCCTCTATCTGAATACATCTTCTATTATAGATTAATGCATTGAATCACCAGTCCTTTTTTACCAACCCTGAATTACCACCAGCTCCCTGTGAGTTTGCTTAGCACTATCCATGGGCTCCCTCTGGGAACAGTAGTTCCAGAGGGACCACTGATAAAATTCAACCGAGGTTCTCAGTGGGCAGGCAGGCTAACACTTAAATCCTTTGTGGTCAAGATACAGGCACACTGTGAGGTCCGGTCCCAAACAATCTGCTGGCTTCTCCCTCTTTTTGACATCCTAACTGTGCCACAAGGAATATCCTCTTTGATGAGTTTAAAAGGCAATTAAAATGAACATAAATCAAATGAAATGCTATAGTTACCTGGCAGGGGAGGTATCATGATCCCGAAGGTGGTTTTCCTTGAGTGAGGCTTATCTTACCTATTTTACTGCAGAAATGCTGACCCCGGTGGTTTCCCCAAATGTAGGAAACTCAACTGCATAATTTGTGGTAGTGGGAGACTGTATTTGTGCCCTCTCTGGGAAAAAAAATGAAATTCTCCCAAAAAACTTTGGTAACTTTTAAAATAAATCAACATGGGATCTCCCCCACTCAAGCTAAAAGGCTTTATTTCTTCCCTCAGGGGCTACAAGGCCTTCATGGACTGGGAGAAGGGAGTGGGGGACCCATTTCCTTACTATGTCTATGGAGCTGCCTGTTCTGAGGTTGAAATTGACTGCCTGACAGGTGCTCACAAGGTAAGTCAAGTCTAACTTTCCTCTTGGCAAGTCAAAACAACAACAAAAGTGTGTTGTATAGTGAATAGCCCAATTCCGTTATGTCATTCTCTTATAACAAGATTCTTTCAATTCCATGGGAGGGTCCAGAGATCTAACCTAATCCTGAATTTCCATGTAAAAAGACAATATAGTAGTCAAAAAGGAATTGCTGATGACAGTCTAAAATGTATTAAATTTTTTATTTCATTTAGACAACAAAATCACTTTCCAAGTTTTCTTCCGAAAAAAAGCTTCTATTTATAAAGAAAACACACATTTTCTAATCTGAAGGAATAACTAACTTAGTAAATAGTCTTGAGCAAACATTTTGAAAGCACATAGCAATGTGCTGTTTCTCCAAAGTCAATTATCCAAAAAGTGTTACTGAAACACATTTTGGAGGAAGAGAGGTATGAAAATAATTTTTACATTTTCTATTTAATTGAACAGCCAAGAAACCACCCATTGGAGACAGGGAATCATGCTTAACCCAAAATTAACAACTTGCATTATAAAGGATGCAATTTTACCCAAGGGCCTTGGTATAAATCCCTAAAGAAATGAAACTTATGGGGATCTTCCAGAATTTATGACACTACAAAAGTCAAAATTTGGTCTTTTCTGTGCCTTTCAGTTTACATTTAGAGTTTAAGGTTCAATAATTTCAGTATTACTTTGATCCCTTTAAATAGTTTATTTCTTAAAGAAGCAAAACTTCTTTTAACTAAAGAGAAATCAGAGAAATTCAATGACAGATCTATTGCGGCTGGCCATTTGTGGTTGATGAACTAAATCATCCATCAACTCAGTGTTAGTGCACAGCCATCTCTTTCCACTGTCCAGCACTTACAGTGCAAAACACACCAGGTTTCAATGTAGAAGTAAACTGAAGGCCCACTCTGAGATGTGTCCAATCTCCCTCCCTATCCAGGTTGAGGATAGATGAAGGCTGGTCTCAATGGCCAGAGTAGGTTGTCCAAGAGGCCAAGGTTTGAGTCAAAAGAGAATTGCCAAGTCCAAAGGGCTAGATAGAAAGTAGGAGCCGAAGTATTGAGCCCAAACAGAGAATGATGATCTTATCAGAACAAGCACTGGAAAATGGGGGCAGAAGGGAAGCCCTGAGATACTCCGGAGATAGGCCACAGGCACTTAGAGGCTTTTAGTGGCTCCTTAACAACCTGCAGGCCCATGCCCAGTGACAAAACAAGGGCCAGATTCATATGGTGCTTCTCAGAGAAGGAAGTAGATTAGCAAATCAAAGGTGGTCTTGACATTTGCTCTGAATACCTTCCAAGATCTTGCAAATCCACAAACTCATACATGCCAGTATGGCTCTAGGATTTTCACAGTAAAATGGCAATAGTACCACCTGCCACAGATTATCATGAGGACTACATGAGCTCATAAATTATATTCCAACAACAAATTCAGGTTGAGAATCAGATGAACAACCAGGCACAACAATTATTTACCAAGTGACTCACTCAGACACACTAGCATGTCATGGACTTTGGAGTCACTTAAGAGGAGTCAAAACCATGAATGCACGAGATCTTCCAGGGTCATGGACAGTCCTGGCACTCAATTTGAAGACTTCAGCAGGCATCTTAACAGCTCTAATGTTGACAGGGTTCAATGCAGTGTTAATTAGCCAGCAGGAGTTCTGGAAAAACTAGAGACCATTTGAGAATACCTGAAAACGATACTTTTAATTCAAGATTTTTGGTAAGGTAATTTTTATTTTGGGCAGAAAATCAGAACGGACATCATCATGGATGCATGTTGCAGCCTAAATCCGGCCATTGATATTGGGCAGGTAGGTGCTGGCCCACCTGGGAGGATGCCCCTTCCTGGGAGTCATCTCAGGGTAGGTAAAGGCCTTCTAACACAATGTCACAAAGCTTGAAATTGTCCCCCTCCAGATTGAAGGTTCGTTTATTCAGGGAATGGGGCTTTATACCACTGAAGAACTGAAATACTCCCCAGAAGGCGTCCTGTACTCTCGGAGTCCAGATGAGTACAAAATTCCAACCGTCACTGATGTCCCAGAGGAGTTCAATGTCTCCTTGCTGCCATCATCACAAACCCCACTAACCATCTATTCATCTAAGGTAAGCACCCAAACCTACCACTGCACGGTATCATGGATCGGGTAGCACATGGCAAATGAAAGCAGGTAGACAAAATAGTAAGTCAATGTTAACTGCTATCAGGAACAAATCACTACAGACTGCTAGAATCTGGAGATGAATCACCCATGGCAATTATGGGCCAAGGATTTTAATAATTTCCTCTTTCACTGAAAACTCTAAAACTTGCCAAAAAGCTTTGACTTCTTAACAGAATAACACTTTTACTTAAGACCCTGAAGACGACAATATTAAACAGGATTGGAGGTGCAATGCGACTGAAATACTAGCAGTGGCAGCGTGGACAGAACCCTGGACTAAGGTCGCAGAAGACCTGGGTTCCTGCCAAGCCCTATCCCCTCCCCGTGGTCTCAGACAAATCACTCACCTCAGAGGGGCTCAGGGTCCTTACCATACCCAGCAATGCATCTAGAACAGTGGGTCTCAATTTGGGGTAAGGGGAGTGGGGGAGGTGATTTTGTACAAGGCAGCCCCCGCCCCCACTACAAAGAATTATCTGGCACAAAATGTTAATAGCATCAGAAAGCAAAGACATCAACCCTTAGTAATTGCTAAAGTAATGAAACTGCAAATTAAAATAAACATCATTATTTCTTTGCCTTGCTCTATGCAGATGACGTGAAAACCACCCTCAGAGTAAAAACTTCATCTAGGTTTGAGATGTATTGTTAAAGTTTCTTGACTCCTCTTAAGACTTTAAAATCTTTCCCGGCCATGGTGGTGCACACCTGTAGCTTCAGCTACTCAGGAGGCTAAAGCAGGGGATTGCTTGAGCCCAGGAATTCAAGACCAGTCTGAGTAATAAATAAATAAGATCTTTTGGGAGACTTCTTGCTAGTACCCATCCTCCACAAAAAAAAAAAGTATCCAACTACATCTGTAGAAATTTCATCATGTCCAAACTGGATCCCACTGTCAGCCCAGGAATGCCAGGAACTTCCTCTAGACCTATAGTGATGAGGTCAGGGCAAACCTGAAAGGAAGGACAATCAATGGGGCCTTTGGATTCTCATTGGACTGGAAATCACTCTAAGGGGCAAAGGCAAAAGGGAGCTAAGAGCCCACAGAGAGCAGCTTTTAAGCCACCAAGAGTGACACAGGGCAGACAGGACCCTTGAGTCCTTGTAGTTGCAGACAGTCACTTACAAGCAGACACTCAGGAAAATCAGGGGTTTGCAGGTCCCACATGGAGGGTACTATGTAAAAACAACAGAGAGCTACCAGGTACCAGGAGCTGTGCTAGGTGCTTTTGTGTTTCCTGATCCTTGCAACACCCTAGGCATCACTGCCCACACTTCACTGACAAAGGAACAGAGAAGATTATCTCACTTACCCAGAGAACCACGGGGAGTCAGGGTCAGGATTCAGATTCAGTCTCACTAACTCAAAGGTCGCAAATTGGTGGTCTACTGGCTAAATCTAGCCTGAAGATTTACTTTTCTTTGGCCTACACAGTATTTTTACAAGTTGGGGAATTTTACATTAAAATACAGATACCTAAATTCTCTTGAGAAGATGGATGATCTGGTAATTTTGGCTGCATCCTTGGAAAGGCAACGACTAGCTACAACCAAAGAACAGCTGCCCCTTGTAGACAGGACATGGGGGTGCTCTTCCTCACCTTACTTTCCACTGCTCCTTATTGTCCTGCACCTGCCTGCATCACTCATTGACCATACCTGCCTGCTCCTTGCAGATGATGGGTTTACAATCTTTCATCTGGTATCAAAGTCTGTACTCTTTCTTCTAGAGTACCATGCCTACCCTGACCCTGGAGTTTAAAAAGGCATTTTTCTCTCTGCTGATAAAGCTGGCTAGTTGAATCCATTGAATGTGTTTTATTAAGTAGGGTACTTTCCCATTATCACACAAAGACACTCATACACACACACACACCTTACCTACGGAACAAAATTTAACCCAGACAGGATTCAAGATTTCAAGATCTGGGAAACTCAGATTATGCTGGGAATTTTTTTTTTTTTTTTTTTTGAGATGTAGTCTCACTCTGTCACCCAGCTAGAGTGCAATGGCGTGATCTCGACTCACTGCAACCTCCGACTACTGGATTCAAGCAATTCTTCTGCCTCAGCCTGCCAAATAGCTAGGACTACAGGCCCACGCCACCACGCCCAGCTAATTTTTGTATTTTTAGTAGAGACGGGGTTTCACCATGTTGGGCAGGATGGTCTTGATCTCTTGACCTCGTGATCCGCCCGCCTCGGCCTCCCAAAGTGCTAGGATTACAGGCGTGAGCCCCTGTGCCCGGCCTATGCTGAGATTTTTAAGAATACTCAAGCTTCTGATTCAGTCAGTAAGTCAGCCAACAAACATTTATTGAGAAGATTTTGTGTACAAAACACTGTGCAGGGGTTGGGGATACAATGGTGAACAAGGCCTGGTCCCTACCCTCTAGAAACTTGTAGTGTGGTATAGAAGTTTCTTAAACCAATGTGCCTTCTTACAGGGCCTCGGGGAGTCTGGGATGTTCCTGGGGTCATCTGTGTTCTTTGCCATTGCTGACGCTGTGGCCACAGTGCGAAGAGAAAGAGACATAGCTGAGGACTTCACGGTGCAGAGCCCAGCAACGCCAGAACGGGTTCGAATGGCCTGTGCAGATCGATTCACCAAAATGGTAGGGAATTGTTTATTTTCCTAAAAGATGATTTGTCTATTTCCTGCTTCTTAGACCTCTTGGGTAAATGTATAACCTAATCTGTGTCTAGCTAATCAAATTATGAAATGAAAAAAGCAAGTCACACAAATACACCTTGTGTACATGTAGTAATTTTTGACTTTTAAAAAAGTGTTTCCCAAGTGTTGATTTGATCATCTCAGCAACCTGAAGTAGGATAATTTATTAATATCATGCTGTAGCTGGGAACCGTGTCTCACACAAGTAATCCCAGCACTTTGGGAGGCCGAGGCAGGCAGATCATGAGGTTAGGAGATCGAGACCATCTGGCTCACTCGATGAAACCCCGTCTCTACTAAAAATACAAAAAAATTAGCCATGCGTGATGGCACGCACCTGTAGTCCCAGCTACTCAGGAGGCTGAGGCAGGAGAATGGCTTGAACCCAGGAGGCAGAGGTTGCAGTGAGCCAAGATCGCGCCACTGCACTCCAGCCTGGCGACAGAGTGAGACTCCGTCTCAAAAAAAATAAAAATAAAAATAAAAAGTATATATATACACACACATACATACATACACACACACACACACACACACACCTTGTATACATGTAGTAATTTTTGATGTATTTTATATATATATATATATATATATAATGCTGCAAAAACTAATAGCTAAATGGAAAGCAACTGATTGATTTCTCCAAACAGTGGTTAAGTATTCCCTCCCTCTATCCTACCAACTCCATCCAGCTCTTCAACAAAAACAAACACACACACACACACACACACACACACAGAAATCCACGTGTCATATAGCCATATTTGATAATGTCACTTTCTGTGTTCCCTATACAGAGAGGATACACAGACTGCCTGTCATTTAGAAGTAGGGTGATCCCATTGTGAGCTACTGCCTTTCTCCTTCATTCTTTTTTTTTCTTTTTGGAGACAGAGTCCCGCTCTGTCACCCAGGCTGGAGTGCAGTGGCGCAATCTTGGCTCACTGCAACCTCTGCCTCCCGGGTTCACACTATTCTCCTGCCCGACTACAGGCATCTGCCACCACACCCGGCTAATTTTTTGTATTTTTTTAGTAGAGACGGGGTTTCACCGTGTTAGCCAGGATGGTCTTGATCTCCTGATCTCGTGATCCGCCCACCTCGGCCTCCCAAAGTGCTGGGATTACAGGCGTGAGCCACTGCGCCCGGCCCTTTCTCCTTCATTCTGTTTCATACCAATGCCTCCCAGCCCAGGAGGGAGAGGCCTAGGGAGTTATCCATGTGGATATACACATGGCAAATCCCACCTGCTGAAGGTTACAGCATGTAACTTTCCAGAGGTCATTGAGCCTAGCCTTTGCCAATTTCCTAAGCATCCTAATTTAAGTAATACCAGGTAGTATTGACTGAGCACCACACTAAACATTTTACACATATTAGTCATTACGGCAACTCTATCAGGTAACTACTGGTATTTTCTTCATTTTACTATTGAGGAAACAGGTGCAATAACTTTCCCAAGATCATACACCTAGCATTTGGGGGCTAAGATTCAAACCCAGGCTGCCTGGCTTCACTGTAATAGATGGCCTCTCAGAGAGAAAAGAGTTGATTCTCTGCTTCTTAAAAGGAAATTTCTAATTTTCAAATCTATATTAAAAGAAGCCCAAATACTTAACTGACCTCTTCAAAATAGCCAACCATAGAGTGAAAAGATCTTATAAAAATATTGCTTAAAAGGAAGTCTCATAATTATTAATTTCCTTCCCCTACATAACCTATTCCTATTTCCATCTTCAAATCTAATTCAACAATATTTCTTATACTCCAATAATACCAGTCACCCTGTAATTTCCCTCCAAGTCTTCTCCCAGTCTATGGATCTGATCCTTATCTGATTCCATTGTCTACAGCAATGATTACAATCACCTGCCTCTGGCCCGGCCCTCCTCAGATGGGCAGGGCCAGGAAACCAGCACCCTCCACCCACTCCAGGAACTCCTCCGTGCGGATCTTGGCCTAGAGGTCAGTCATCTGCCGGTTCCTGACTCAGATGGTGACATGGTCACTGTGGAATGGTGTCATCTCATACCCCAAAAGCATAAGCACTTCTGACTTTTAAAAATGTTCTTATTCACATTTTGCAATAATAAATACCCTTTTCTGGAATGGGGCAGATTAAGAAAACTAAAAAACACAACAAACAAAAAGATATTTCTAATCTTCCTTTCTTGCCTGAGGTTAATGTTTTCAGTCTTCCAATGGTCTGGCTCCTAAAAAATGAATTCCTTCACATCTAAGATTTCAGGCTATTTTGAATAATCTGGTTGTCTGACAAAGTAGCTCTGTCACATACGATGGTAAGAAGTGAAACACTTTGATTTCATTTACCATGTGGGACTTAGCTTCTTAGCTACCTGGTCCATATGATGAAACCGTATTTCCTCTCAAGTCTGATGGTTTCTTGATAAGACTAACATATCTTTGCAGATATAAATCATCTACTAATTTGTGCCCATCAATCAAATGCTCAATGTTAGAATAACCTAGCATTTTCTAAAATACTTGCAGATACATGGTTTATAAATATCACTTCATGTTATAACCTATGTTTGCTATTTTAGACCTCCTTTTAATAACATACATTGCATTTTGTCTTTGTAAAAGTAACACATGTCCATTATGGAAAAATTAGAAAATGCTGAAAAGAATAAGGTGAAGTTAAAATCAGCCATAATCCCACCCACCAGAACTAACTATAACCATCTTTTGGAGTGTGAGTGTGCATGTGTGTGTGTGTGTGTGTACACATTTAACCATCCTTTAATTTATATATGTTTATATGTATAATATATCTTATTTGTAAACTCATTTAATAAAATCCGGATATCCCTGACATAAGTCTTTGAAAAGATTCGTACAGTATAATTGGGAATGACGGCTGGGCACGGTGGCTCACGCCTGTAGTCCCAGCACTTTGGGAGGCTGAGGCAGGCGGATCACGAGGTCATGAGATCGAGATCAGCCTGGCTAACACAGTGAAATCCCATCTCTACTAAAAATACAAAAAATTAGCCGAGCACAGTGGCGGGTGCCTGTAGTCCCAGCTACTCGGGAGGCTGAGGCAGGAGAATGGCATGAACCCGGGAGGCGGAGTTTGCAGTGAGCCAAGATCACACCACTGCACTCCAGACTGGGTGATAGAGCAAGATTCTGTCTCAGAAAATAAATAAATGAATTGGGAATGACTCTACTGAGCCTCAGTCGCGGAAAAATCTGGATTGGGAATTTCACGGGAAAAGTATCCCATGAAACATCACTCAAAAAACAGTTGCTTAAACACAAAAAGAAAATACCTTGCCAAACTCGTTTATCCTACAAACTCTTAATCTTTATCTATAGCTACTGGAATAAATTTGAGGGGCGAGGGCAGGACAGAATGTTTAACTTTTCAATAATAAGCCCCTTGTTATTAAGGCTACTTAGGCCATATGGAGAATGATCATTTATCCTTTTTTTTTTTTTTTCTTTTGAAGACAGGGTCTTGCTGTGTTGCCCAGGCTGGAGTGCAGTGTTGCAATCTTAGCTCACTGCACCCTCTACCTCCCAGGTTCAAGAGAGTCTCCTGCCTCAGCCTCCCGAGTAGCTAGGATTACAGGTGTGTACCACCATGCCCAGCTAATTTTGGTATTTTTAGTAGAGATGGGGTTTCACCATGTTGGCTAGACTGGTCTCGAACTTCTGGCCTCAGATGATCCTCCCACCTCAGCCTTCCACAGTGCTGGGATTACAGGCGTGAGCCACTGTGCCTGGCCATAATCATTTATCCTTCATACTTATCGCGACCTACAATATTCCTAGCCATTGCACTGAACTCACATATATTTGAAACAATGAGAAGAAAGTCCCCTCCAAATACTTGAGAAGGCTTCGGTTAGTTTGTTCGAGCCTCCAGACCCCGTCTCCTCAACTGTTCACCAACATAGAGAGGAGGCTGGTTAGAGGCCAGCCTTGATTGGGACCTCCCAAGGAGTGCAGAGAGGAGGAAGAACTGAGTCTTAGTTTAACAGAGGCCAAGAAGCACACAAAATTTAGATTATTCTACTATTACCTGTTGCAGAAAACGGCAATACTTCTCTATCCATATAGAAACATAAGCAAGAATCCCAGGAGCCATCCTGACATTTATCTCCCTCATACTCAGTAGTTAGTCCTTCATCATGTCCTGTTCATTTTTACCCCCAACAATTTCTTGACCCAGTCCATTTTCTCCATCCTTAACCACTATATTATTCATTCATCCCACAAACAGGTGTTGAGCATCTAATGTGTGCCAGCCATTGTTCTACAGAACAATTCTGGGGCTACAGTAGGGAATGAAACAGAGACCCCTGCCTTGGTGGCGTTTAGTTTCTGGTGACTCTGAAGCTACCTACCATCTCTCCATCCTGGATCAAAGTTGCCTGCTGGCTGGTCTCCCTACACCCCCTGCAGCCAGAGGCTTGTGGTGTGGCAAAGCAGACCATGCCACACCAGCACACACATTGGCAAAAAGCTTCCCTTTGCTCACAGGAGACAGAAAACTTCTTAACTTGCCTTCCTGAGCCTACACACCTTCAGAGTCCAGCATGGCCAACCCCACCACCTCTCCAGCCACACACGACCCCACCCAGCCACACTTGCCTTCTTCTATCATTCCTCATGTCAAGGACAGAGACGCTCACTCCTGCTTCAGGGCTTCTGCCGTGCTCTTCCTTCTCCTTGGAACCATCTTCTTCTGTTCAGCTTGTTAACTCCTACTCGGGTATTCAACAAATTCATTTGATCCCTTCCTTTCTGCATAGTTGGAGGTCCCAGGAATATAGTGGTGAACCAGACTCACAGGTCCCTGCTCTCAAGGCATTTGTAGTCTAGCAGGGAAGGAAGACAGTGACTGTGAATTATAAGTGCTTGGCTGACCCTGGGTTATACTAACACAGCCCATAGAACAAAGCCTTTCTG